TAATATTTCTCGGAACGTTTATTGTATATATTTATAAAATGGCAATTACCTGTAAGCAGCTATATCGAATTTGCCAATTTTTCTTCGTGTAGCAACCTTTTACAAGAGATCGTTGAATTCAAATACCCACGTCTTATGTATTCTGTTCTTAATTTTTAAGTATTAAGAATTAAATTTTAAATATTAAGAATTAAATAATAAATTTTAAGTTTTAAATATTAATTTCAAATGTCCCTCCAGGGCTTCCATATGAAACTGATATATTATGTTCACATTCAAGATATTTTGAATTTCAGTATGTTTCTAAAGATGATAATTTTGAAGTAAATTCGGGCGTAAAGGGTAGACTGAGATTACACGCTGATTATTGGTGTAATGTTTTAGAGGCATCTGATTTTATTTTTGACATAGTAAAAAATGGTTACGTCATACCTTTTAACAATATTCCTCAATCATATTTCATGAAAAATAATAAATCTGCATTTGACCATTCAGATTTTGTAACTGACGCAGTTGCTGATTTAGTTAAGTCTGGCTGTGTGTTAGAAGTGCCTTTTCAGCCTTTTTTGGTAAACCCTCTTTCAGTGTCTGTGAACAGTTCGGGAAAAAAGCGTTTAATTTTAGATTTAAGTGTCATGAATACATTTGTTAAGAAGGAACATTTTAAATTTGAGGACTGGAAGGTTGCGTCAGATTATTTGTTAAAGGATGGTTTTATGTTTAAATTTGACATTTCATCTGCATATCACCACATAGATATAGCCACAGCACAACAAACTTTTTTGGGATTTTCATGGACTGAGAACGCTAAGCTTAAATATTATGTTTTTACTGTATTACCATTTGGGTTGACGTCGGCACCGTTTATTTGGACTAAATGTTTAAGATGTATTGTAAAATTCATTCGTCTTCAGGGAATCAGATTTGTTTTGTTTTTAGATGATGGGTGGGGAGTAATAAAACGTTTGAATGTACTCTTAAAGATGCTGATTTTGTTAAAGATGTCCTCATCAAAGCGGGGTTTTTGATCAATACTCAGACATCGATATTAACTCCAGTTCAAAATTTATAATGGTTAGGCTTATTATGGAATTTAAAGGATAATGTTTTAGAAATTCTCGATAGGCGTGTGAAAAGCGTAGTACAGTGTATTACCTTTATCATAGGTAAATTTCCTTTCGTGTCTGCGCGAGAGATGGCGAGGTGTACTGGTAAAATTATTTCACTGATTCCAGTATTAGGAAATGCGTGTAAGCTCATGACCAAAAATTTACACAGAGCTATTGGATGTAGGATTAGTTGGAATTCAGTTATAGATGTTTCGGATTTAGGAGTAATTACAGAGTTACAGTTTTGGGAGAAAGCATTTACTATAAGGCTGACTAAAAAGTTATTTGTATCTGATATAAGTTCAGTAACAATCTATTCTGATGCAAGTCAACACGCATGCGCAGCTTACATACAAGGTTATCCGACCGCCGTTTGCCATAGAAATTGGTCTCCATTTGAACAAAATACCAGTTCTACCTGGCGGGAAATGACCGCTATATTGTTTGCCTTGCAGAGTTTTCTCCCTTTGATAAGAGGTCGTTTACTCAAATGGTGCACAGATAATCAAAATTGTGTATCTATAATTGAAAGCGGTAGTATGAAATCCGATTTACATAGTATATCGTTATCTGTGTTTGAAAAATCAAATATCAATTTATATGCAATGGGTTCCCAGAGATAAAAATTTGTACGCAGATTATTTGAGTAAGCTGTTTGATTTAGATGATTGGGGAGTTTCTTTGGCTTTTTTCAATTTTCTTGACGCTATGTTTGGCCCTCATACGGTTGACAGATTCGCAAATCATTATAACCACGTGGTAGATCGGTTCAATTCTTTAGTTTGGGTACTGGGTACAGAGAGTGTGGACGCTTTTTCTTTGGACTGGGCAGGAGAAAATAACTGGCTAGTTCCACCGATAAACATGATTTCAAGAACTGTTAATCATATAATTACATGTAATGCCAAAGGGACGTTGGTAGCTCCATTCTGGCCGTCTGCTCCTTTTTGGTCCATGATATTTGGTAATAACGCGGTTATAAAGAGCAAAATTGCGGACATTCTTGCATTTAAACCAAATTCTGAGATTTTTGTACATTACTTTAACCAAAAATCTATTTTTGGTTCTGATAAGTTTTTAAGCAAAGTCTTAGTAGTACGTTTTGAATAAGAAAGAACAGCTGTGTAAATAAGTTGCTGTTGCACAATTTTATTTCAAGATTGCTATTAAATTTTGATAATTAGATATTTTATCACAAAATGAAAATTTAGTTTGATAATCGGCAAGTGTTAGCGATATGGTGTTAAATAACATTGACCAAGGGTCAAATGTACACAAAACTTTGTAAATAAGATATTTTGTTGCATAATTTTATTTCAAGTTTAGTATTGAACTTTTGACAATTAAACATTTTATCATAAAATGAAAATTTAGTTTGATATTCGGCTAATGTTAGTGATATGGTATTTTAAACACCTTGACCGAGGTTCAAAGGTGCATAGAACTACGCAAATAAGTTGATTGCTGCATAAGTTTATTTCAAGTTTGATATTTAACTTTTGAGAATTAATAATTTTATAACAAAATGAATATTTAGTTTAATATTCGGCACGTGTTAGTGTACAGTATAGAACGATATTGACCGAGGGTCAAAGTGTGCAAAGAACTATGCAAATAAGTTGATTTGTGTCTACTTTTATTTCAAGTTTTCCATTTAATTTTTTAAAATAAGATATGCTATCGCTAATGAATTTTTAGTTTGATATTTGGCAATTGTTTGCGTTAAGGTATTAAATGACATTGACCGAGGGTCACATTGCTTAAAGGACTATTAATTTTTGATAATAAGATATTATATCATAAATGAATATTTAGTTTGATATTCGACACATTTTTGTTTGTTTTTGAATTTTTAAATAAGATATGCTATCGCGAAATCATTTTAGATTGATATTTGACACATTTTAGGTATATGGTATTACATAACATTGATCGAGGGTCAAAATGTATAGCCGAGGGCTTGATAACGAAATCGAGGATTTCGTGGAATCGAGGATTCAGTTGTTATGATTTTGTTATTCATGTACAAGTTAATATATTTTCTCTCTTTTTATACATTTCAGAAATATCATTGGTAAAAGATTAGTTTCTGATTGTCAACGGGATCCGGAGTTGTCTTCCCTGGCTTCCAAGCTTCCAGACGTTTTACTTAAGTCCAAAGCTTTTAATACTGGAAAGTGTTACCAGAGAACATTTAAACTTTGGAGTATTTGGGCAAGTCGTCACAATCTAATCTCATTGCCAGCTAAAGACATTGATTTTAGTTTATACTTAGTTTCTTTAATTCAAAGTAATAAATCGTCATCTACAGTTGATGAAACATTTTACGGCGTGAAATGGGCGCATGAACTAGCTGGTTTTTCCAATTCTAATCCTTGTGGAAGTTTTGTAGTGAAATCGGTTAGGGAAGCTGCACACCGGATCCTGGGTCATTCCGTTTCTAAGAAAGAGCCAATAACGTCTGATATTTTAAATCAAATGGTTTCTCGTTATTTAGGACATAATTCAAATACAATGAATTTAAGAAATGTTGCTATGTGTCTTATTGCGTACGCTGGTTTTTTAAGATTTTCAGAACTGTCTAATATTAAAAGATCTGATTTGGTTTTTCATGAAGACTTTTTATCAATTTTTATTGAGACTAGTAAGACTGATATTTACAGAGAAGGGAAAAGTTGTTTAATCGCTAAAACTGGATTAATTACATGTCCAGTCACTGTATTAGAAAAATATTTGAAATGTGTAAATTTGTACGAAGACGATAGTTCTGAAGATTTTATATTTCGTTCAGTATTGTATCTTAAGTCTCGTAATGAGTATAATTTGAAAGGTTCTAAACCTTTATCTTACACTAGAACCAGAGAGGTTTTACTTGAAATGTTAAAAGATTTAGGTCTAGATAACCCAAGTTTGGACTTCATAGTTTGAGAAGTGGCGGATGTACAGCTGCTGCTAATTTTAGTATACCAGATAGACTATTTAAACGACACGGTCGTTGGCGTAGTGAGAAAGCCAAAGATGGCTATGTGAAAGACAGTATAGAAGATTTATTATATGTATCAAGAAGTTTAGGTGTTTAATTTGTCGAATATTTTATGATTATATATAGGCTGTTCTCATAGCTAAAGTTAATTGATATTGTATATTGGTTACGACATTATGAACGTTATAATTAAATTGGTTAAAGTTTATAACTCTCTCCTTCTTTGTTTTTCTCGATATTGAAACAATGCGAAGGCCTTTATCCTACTTGAGTGTTGTTGTTTATTCTGCCTAAGACTGAGGGTTTCACAACTCTTATTAGGTGATAAATAATTTATTTTCGGTTAAGCAGAGCGAATTAGAAAATAATTAACAATTTAAGTGAATGTTGATTTTTTTTAAACTGACGGTATGCAACGAATCGCCATCTCCAGTTGAAATAAGTAAGTTGACCACAGTCACCACCATTTCACATAAATACACATATATAAACTGTTGTTGCATATGCACTCAAAACTACATCGCGCCCCATTGGCAGTGACGGCTACATATCGCTACGCAACTTCAAGCGGTGCCACTATGCAAATAATTATTGTACACGTCGATGGGGATTTCAAAAAATTCACTGCCTCATACTCTGAACCTTATATAATATAATCTTTAGTTACTAAAGAAGGGCGTTTTTTGTTGTTTTTTATTTTTGTTTGTTTGTTTTGCTTGTTTGTTTGTTTTGGTTTTGTTTCGTAATCAAAACAAGATTCTAATTAGATTCTGACCTAAACAGAAAGTTCCCGGGATTTGTTCAAGACAACAATTTCAGTGCTACTTAAATACAACATGTATAATATATAAACTGTACATGTTTAAATATCAGTATATATCAGTAAATAAACAGTAATCTTTAAAGATCATATCACAGGCTAGTTACTGGGTCATATATAGTTTTAACTGTTATTATTGGATGGATAAGGTTGATGTATATAAGGTAATTTATTTTAGTGATCGTACATGTACAATGCAATTAAAGTTAAAAAGATAATGACATTTTGTTTATTTCCGTTTGAAGTTTTTGTTATTGTCTGCAGTTTATTTACTTTAAATTAAGGGACTCCACTGAGGTTTTTAGACATGATGGGACTGAAAATATTTTTTTCCAGATAAATGTTCAATTTGATGTAGGTGTAGACTACGAATCTTTGTGCAAACTTTCAGATCATTCGTTTTTCCATAATAATTATTCAAATTGTAAAAAAAATGACCCAAAATGAAAAGCGTTTAAATGCTTTTCACTCAAATTTGACTAAGAAAAGCATAAAACTACGATTTTCGATTTATTTAAAGTATATTTCTTAACTATCTTTGCATATTTACATTTCTGTTTAAAGCACCCCAGTTCATTTATGTAAGAAATTCTAATATTATGTTTTTAGGTTTTTAAACCTCAGTGGAGCCCCTTTAAAGGCCGTGACCGACTAGTTAATGAAGCTGTCGTTGACTGTAAATAACTTGTCCCTCGCCACTGCTGGTTGGAATCCCGACAGAGACTCTGGATTCGTTCATGCAAGCACAGGAACTTGAAATTCTATCAATATTAATGATAATATCCAAAAAATTATTTATACTGTCTATAGGGGTATTTTTTGGATATTATCATTGATATTGATAGAATTTCAAGTTCCTGTGGACCTTTGTACCACGTAAAACCCAACAACAACAACTCTCACACACACGAAAAAGAACAAGAATAGTGTTATAGTTTCAATTGTAATATTCGGCTTTATTTTTTTAATTTATATCGTCCTACAGCAGATGCTGCCCAATTTTGGGTCATATATTCATATACAAAATACATTTGTAACAATATTTGAGACAACTGGTTGTCAACCGCAGGAATGTTTGTACCTGCCATATTCAAGAGGGTGTTTAACATTAAGGGAGGGGGTTGAGTGGTCAATATTAAAAACAAACAGAAGTTGATATCTAAATCTTGCATCAAATTGCAATATTACATTTAATACATATTTTACAACATTTTTTTCCAAATACCAGGGGGTTGTTATCACCCATTAGAAACACTTTCTGGGTCCGCCCATGAATATATGTGCTTACGCATTTGTACATAAAATGTGTATTTGTCAATATTACGGAATAGCCGAGTTGTCGAATATTTTGGGATAATCGTCGATAGGGGTAAGTGGTTTTGATAAATCTTTTATTGGCATTATCAGATTGACGCCTATATTAGTTATGTGGATTTAGATTAACGTCTGCTGCAATTAAACTAATTAATTCTTTTCTTTCTTTGCTGAACTATAAATTCATTTTTAGGTTATATATAGACCGTGTATGAAAGACAGGCAGATGTTACGCACATGGCAATTTAATGGAGTATTTTCATTGGTCACATGAAAACATCGGACCAATGAAAATACTCATCATCATCATCATCTCAAGTAATTGCATCACTCCGCATACTCGCAATCGGATAAAACTGTACGCAGCAGGCAGGACTGTCGACTGTTTTCCAAAATAAAAATAAAAAGTTTCCCTATTTACAGTTTCTATTAAAAGAGTAAAAACAACACCATACAAAAGCCAAGGGAAACACATCTGCTGTGCCATTTTACTTTCAGTACGCAATACAAAGAAATATTCATTCACTGTGAATTTAGTGTGTTTTACTCGTGAGAGTTATACCATACAGGGGCTGATACAGATAATGGTTTCGAGAGGGGGGGGGGGGGGGCTGACATATGGGTGGAAGATTTTTATAAAAATAACGCAACAGGCGGAAATTGTGCATGTTTGAAGCTTGTTCATGTCACAGACACTTGGGGTTTGGAGCTCAAAACGCCTTTAAAATCCAAATAAAAAGCATATTTGTCATCTTATGAGTGGCAATGTACTTTGCTTATATATGTGTATGCTAATGGTTTTTGTAAACATTAAGATTATATGGAATTAAGAAAAATATATGTAATTGGGGTGGGCCTGGGAGGGGTGTCCCCTCCCATAGACTGAAACATTTTTGAAATATGAGGTTGTAAATGGTGTAATTTCCTTGACTTTCTTGTGCTGTTTATGGTACCTTTTGGATGGTTTAACATCACATTATATTTTGTATAGGTTAGTGTTTGCAAGGTATTTCAAATAGAATTCCTCTGGTGTTTAGTAGTAAACATTTACAAAATAACAGCATACTTAATTACCAATGTATGCACGACAGTTGATAAAAATAATCAAATGCTTGATCAATTTTCTGATATGAATAATTAAAGTCTTATCAAAATACTGCCTTTCTATTGTACAAAAAAACATAATTTCAAACACTAATATTCAATAAGAATTTTTTCCATCAATGAATCCAGAGGTCACTACAATTTAAATTTTATTTAAAAAATATAAATGTCAAAAAAAGTTATTAAAAGTAAATGGCCAATCATTTCATCTTGATAAAAATATTAGTAAAACTAGTTATTAGGATGACCTACACTCGATTAGTGAGTGTGAACGACTGTTGTGTTGTGTCTTCGTTTATTTATTTTTTGAATAATGCAAAATAGTGCTTCATATTGAATTTAAGTGTACATGTGTATAAATATATTGGCTATGTGATATTTAATTTTGGACATAAATCAGTGCTTTATACTGGAGACATTGGACAAAAACAAAAAAACAAAGGATAGTTAGTGCCTGAGGCGCAAATACGCTTTGTGTTATTCAGCCATTTTGGAGTTGATATAGGTATAACGTATTTTATAGAAACTGAAGATTAAGAATAACTTTCTATTTACTGTTACATGTCACATAGTGTCCAAACTAACCAGCGCCCTTCGGCCTTAAATTAAGTGCCTGTGAAAAGATTATACGATTACTCACCCCTACTGACAATTGTATTCGTCACGCTTTCAAGAGTGCGGCGCTGTTTTCGGGATTAAGGACAATGGTTACGTCTAGCGATGGACGGACAATTAACAACAGTGGGAAATCGGAACTGATATCATTAAAAGAGAACACGGAAGTGGCTCATACGGGTAATACAAAGACATATGCTAGTGCGGTTACAAGCAAAACACAATCACAGAGTCAGTACGATACTTTCAATATCCCAGACAATGAAGATCTTGAAGAGTATAATAATTTGGTAAAGCTTTATCATGATATCATATGCCAAAAGACTTATTTGTTCAGCATTTGCTTAGGATGTATGCATCATCAGAATCTGACTTGGAACGTGTCCGTGTACAATATTTTGAAGTACTTAAACAGGAGCATGATGATTTTCCTTTTGGACTTAGCGCAGAAAGTAGTATAGGGGTCTCTTTTGGGGCACGACTGCGCATGCGCGACGCCATATTGGATTCTATTTTTAGAATGACATCATCGTTCTATTTTAAGAATGACATTATCGTTCTATTTTTAGAATGACATTATCGTTCTATTTTTAATCTCCCGGAAGTATACGGAGCTGACTCGTATACACGATTTAGGGCTTGAATCGCGGACATTGAGGGTCAGGTCCTCGGCCCTAGACGGAGAGATAATTGACACATAAAAGAAATGTTTGTAAATAGATACGTACTTAACATTTTAATTTATAAAAACTAGTTTTTTAATAGGTTCAAAATAATATTGATACAAATATAACTCGTTTACTTACCTACATTTAGTAAGGAAATGACTGTCATAGCGTAACGTTCTTGTAGACTGCGCATGATCTATTTTTAGTCGCGGTATTTCACAACCACCAGGAGCTATTTCATCAGCCCCACGCGGGTGTCAATGAAAGAAAAAGGCATTAAGTACAGTCGCCACTTAGTCTAGATTTACAATACCTAGCGGAACTATGTTGAACAAAAACCCTTTATCCTTCGTTACTAAATATAACTTTTCATTAATCACAAAAGAATCTATTATCCTTTCAAACGCAGCGACCGTCAAGTACACTCGCCACTTAGTCTAGATTTACAATACCTAGCGGAACTATGTTGAACAAAAACCCTTTATCCTTCGTTACTAAATATAGCTTTTCATTAATCACAAAAGATTAATAGATTTGACGGACCTTTTCTCTTCGCATGCATTCACAAATTTACGCTTTATATATCGTACCCCCTTAATTAGGTTCCTTTCAAGTGCATACTACGGTCAACTGATTGCATATTTTAAACACGGTTGCCCTTAACAACTTGTCAAATTTTGTGATTTTTATGAACACTTCAAATTCCCGTTTTTTTTTTTACGAAAATTGATTTTGAATGAATACACTTATGTATACGAAAGTTGTAAACTGATTTTGAATGAATAACTTATGTATAAGAAAGTTGTAAACTGATTTTAAATGAAATTTATAATACATTTAAGCTATAAACCGGTTTTTTATCGTTTGGGCAACCGTTTACGCTCAAAATTTTCGAGATAAAGTCGTTATAAGATAGAATAAACCGAAAGCTTTCGTTTTGACCCGGGGTTCTCGATTCGATTTTCAGCCGTTTTTGAGTTATGACGCAAGAGCGATTTTAAACCCTAAATTGCGAAAGTCAATAAAAACGTTAGAACTTTTTACCAATCGATTCGTCTTGTCGCGCTAATTAAGAAAATATATAGTTTTATGGGTTTATCTTTTACCGTTTTCGAGTAATTCGAGTTTAAAGTCACCGGAAGTGACGTCACGGAAATTTCAAAATCGATTTTTTCCGTTATTTCTTGACCGAATATACTCTTGTTTGGTATCGTTGGAAAGCATTTTACCACACCTGTTACCGGACCCTATTCAAAAAGCCATTGGACCGGAACTGAAATCACTGAAGCGTAAAAACGTGTTTTCTGTACCACGTCCGGACCGAACTAAGGCGTGTTTGGTATCAAACGAAATGTCTTAAGCCGCTCTTTATGAATACGGACTAAAATCGAAATTAAAATCACTCATGCATAAAAATCATTAAAATAACTAAAATAAGCTTACCCCAGTCTTTACTCCTCGCC